CATTCGACAATTACATATTTATATTACATACACTTATACAATACGCCTACAAACATACATACGTACATGCAAACAGACATACAACATACATACTACATATAAATACAACATACAAATAAACATACACACATAAAACATACAAATGAACATACAACGAACATCATAAATACATACAACATACAAATGAACATACAACATACATACATACATACAACATACAAACGGACATACAACATACAAACGGACATACAACATACACATACAGGCACGCATTTCAGGCTTACCACCAGCAGCAAAATGTCGTTCGTCCTTGCATACGATCGTTTCATCTCAACTTTATGAATACAAAACAGAATTTTTGTATGTACACAAATGCACACACTGACGAAGACACACACACAGACACACACCTACTCTCTCACACACATAAACACAGAGAAAGAGAGAGAGAGAGAGAGAGACATTTTCACACATAAAATGGCACAAGCACCATCATCTACAAAAATATATGTATGCAAGAAATAGCATATGGTCTATAGATTTGAATGCAATCTTTTTTTAGTATGTGTGTGGAAAGTATTGCACACACACGTGTGTTTTAATGCAAAAACACACATGTGCCTTAATGTACACACACACACATGTGAATTAAAAAGTTACAAAAATTCTCCTCTTCGTCCTCACCATCATTCTCTCCATCATTATTGTCAGCCGACAGACAACTAACTGCCTTGTTGGATCATTATGCTCTTCTCAACTCTATTTTTATTACCATCATAATCATTGTTATTATTATTATTATTATTAATAGTAGTAGTAGTAGTAGTGTTTGTATTATTATTATTAGTAGTAGTAGTAGTAGAAGTAGTGGTAGTCGTAATAGTAGTAGTGGTGGTAGTAGTAGTGGTAGTGGTGGTGGTAGTAGTAGTAATTGTAAAAATTGTAGTAGTGGTGGTGGTGGTTGTAGTAGAAGCAGTATTATTACTACTAGTAGAAGTAGTAGCTTTCAATATTTTGGCAGTTTTTTCATTAGCTTAGAATCATTTTCCTCTGTTTTTTGTTTTTATACTGTTTTTATGCTACTTTTAATTTTTCCAACTTATTTTTTGTATAATTTTTGACGTATTTAAACGTTTTGCATGCAGCTCTATCAACATTTATACTTCAACGATCATGTTATCATGTTCACGCAATCACCATTTTTCGTACGTTTATAATACCAAATTATCATTTTTCATATCATTCGTATGTTCGCGTTTTGTTATTTAGCTTCATTTTACCATTTCGGTTCTTCTCGTTTCGCTATTTTTATTTTATTTTTCTCTGTTCAGTAGCCACCATTCGCATTCGCTAACGAATATTTATTGCATATGAAACTAAAATATACACCAACAAAGGAACGAACAAACGAATGAACAAACGAACAAGCGAACGAACAAACGAACGAGTAATGAACATATGCGACTATATCTTTGTATTAAAGAATGGGCGTCATAGATGAAAAAACTCCAATAAATAACATGTCAAAGCGTAATTTACTATCAAATCAACCTATCTACCTGACATTCCATTCAGTCCGAAAATCATGTATGTATTGATCAGTAGTACAATGACGATTCATTGTTACATACACATACAACATTATACAGCACAGGTACATCACAGACAAACACACAAAAACACACAGACGCCATACTATCATAGTTATATATATATATTATTTTATAGAATATGTTTTTATACTATATAGATAGACTCACTCATTTCACGTACACTGACATATACACACAGACAAACGCACATTTACGTCATTCATCTTTACGATCACTGATAAATGAACCCACACACTCGCAAGAAGAGCGCCACGCTCCGGTTTCCTAAATATTGTTCCGTGAACACACCTCTAGAAAAATGGCATCTCCATGACATATTTATGCTCACAAGCATGTGATATGAGCTAATGTTCATGTGCACACTGTTGCTATGCGATATATACACGCACACGATCGCACGTACGACCATTGTTAAAACTGTTTGTCCTTGTACACGTCCGTAAATGTTTGCGTTGTCTTTAAAAATTCTTTTATTAGAACTACGCGAACAAACAAATTCCTTCATCAAAGACGCATTTAAAATGTGTGCAAATATTTTTATATTATAAGTGTACGTGCGTGTATGCTTTGCGCTCGTTCGTTAGCGAAATGCGAGTTCAAACACACATGTGATTAGAACACACGTAAAACTGTATACGTAGAAATGCGAGGTATACCACAAACGCGAATATAAACGCCCATTGCAGGCCTGTTAGGCAACATAGTCAAGTTAAAAACAGGTAAGTGTTCATTCGAATGCATTAAATCACGCTGAAAATGCATCGCCTAAGCCAGTTTTGATCAAACATCCTGTAAAATATTCAAGCCATGGATTGATGAAGTAATTAATTATATGCACATCAAACGTTCAGCCAGGTACGTGTGCGTGCAAACGTGCGTTCACATGATGTAGCCGCGTTATATAAGCACATATATCAGGCACCTATTTTTTCAAGTAGTAGCTGAATAAGAAACACAAAAAGCTGTCGGGAGATATGATGAAATGCATTTTATTCAAAGCAATCAATTATTTTGATTTATCGTAATCATTCTTTATTTACATATAACATCACAACTACATCATCACGTACTATATGTACAAGAACTATCGGAGTCTAAAGAATTCCACGTAGAAAATATTCACATACATTATTTTGAAGTCTTTTTATCTATTATAAACATGTACATGAAAAAATAAATATATATATATATATATGTATGCACATGGACAAATATATATATAAATAAACATTCTTTCACTATATATATATATATATGTATATATATATATATATATATATGTATATATATATATATATATATATATATATATATATATATATATATATATATATATATATATATATATATATATATAGCATCTTCCCAGATTTGGAATGCGTTGCCTGCTGATCTAAAGAATTTCAACATCATGAGTCGAAATGAATTCAAAAAACGGCTAAAGACTCATTTTTTCAACATTCAACGGCGAAGAAAGTGGAGAGCGCTTCTGAAATCAACTCACAAGAGGCGCTGTACATATTCTGCAATACAATACAATATATATATATATATATACATATATATATACACACACACACACACACACACATATATATATATATATATATAGCACATATTTATAAAGATAAGGCACATTATCTGAAAATTTGCATTAAAAAGTATTATGCAATAAATGAACTAACAAAAAATAACTTGGTCATCACCAATTATTCACTAAACAGCAATCTGTGATAATCGATCAAGCAATCAAATAAATAAACTAGCAAACCAATAATCCTATCAATTCATTCAACACACACACCACACACACACACACACACACACACACACACACACACACACACACACACACACACACATACACACACACAGTAATCTAAAAACTAAATAACTGCTATGATATCGTATAGAGTGACAAGCAGCTCTCAAGCAAGTTCACTGGCAAACCAAGGCGAGAGACGGGCGCATGGGACAAGCAATTAAAAACATGAATCACCAAACCAAATAAATTAATTACAGAGATTAATTAACCTAATTAAAAATGCAGTTAACCAGATGGGTTCAAATGAATCTTCAGAGTACAAAATTTATTTTGATAATTCAAAAATTAGCGGGATCACATGACAAATATACTTCTAAATAATGAATGAAAAAATAAATAAATAAATTTATTAATTATTAACGAATTGATAAACAAAAGAATGAATCAATAAATGAATGAATCAATCACTGAACAGTTTAATCACTAGATGGCATATTTCTGAAATGCATGCCTCATTCATACCTCGGCTTCTTTAAGCAACTAACAACAGTGGTAGGGGTAGAAACTTTTGCCGCCATCACTAACGATGATAACGAGGAAAATGACGACGAAGATGTGGATGACGACATGGAGGTTGAAAGAGATGTCGTCGTCGTCGTTACCGGCTTGAGAATAATCGTTTTGGAAAAGTTTGATGATGAGGATGAAGACAATGTCGATGATGTTGACAGCGGTTGAACGATGGTGAATTTTGGCCTAGCTGGCGCGTCGTTTGAATGTTGTTGCGTTGGTACGGATAAATCCACTCGTTTGTAACCAATTGGCAGTGGTGCTAGAGAAATAGTCGGAAGGGTGATGATGGGCTTTGAGGAAAATGATGTTGTGAGTCTCAGCCTGGTAGATGATGATGCCGACGAGGAGAGTGCAGAAGAAGAAGAAGAGGAGTTAGTTGGTTGTACTGTCGTTACTCGTTCCACAATTAACACTTTTCCAGAAGATGAAGAGGAAGACAATGATGATGACGACGGTGATGACAGTGAGGATGAGGATGGCATTGTGATGATTCTGATTTTGTTGCTGCCATTAAAAATGCCGTCCTTTTTAACGAATCCATAATTGTTATTTATGCAGCTATTAGAAGCAGTAAAACTAACTGCACAGTTGGTGCTTCTAGCATTCAGTTTGCCGTTGCATGTGCTATTGTTATTGCTGTTGGTGTCATTGCTGTCTGCCTTGTTGTCATTATTTTTATTGCTGTTTGCACTTGCACTATTGTCATTTAAGTTACTACTTCTAGCATTGCAACCAACATTTGTAACGTCGCCCGTGGGACCGTTAAATAATTTATCAGTGGAAATAGTCTTTATGATACGACTGTTCTCATTTTTGTGCTCAATGTCAGCACCTCTGTTATCATTTTTATTACTAGATGATGAAACCAGATCGTTGTCGTTATCATTATCAGCAATTCTAACAGCAGTTTCAGCAGACGAGTTGACCTGTTTGTCAATTAAGTTGCTGTATCTCTTGTCGTCATGTTTACTATTGTAAGAAGCACTGGAAACGTTGTTGCTACCAGCGTTGGAACCGTTGAGGGTGGGTGTTCTTTCTTTGTGCTGGCACATGCCGGCAATACAGGTGTGGCCGAAAGATTCTGCCACCTTGTGCTCAACTAAGTAGTACATGTATTCGTTGAAGAGGAGGTTGATGAGGTGGAACGAACCAAAACTGGCAGCACTTCGAAGGGTCAGGTCTCTGATTATCAAGGAGCTAGCAGAAGGGGGAAAGAGATGTGAGGTAATGAGTGAATCATGAAGAAATAGAGTTATAACGGAAAACAAATGTTTCCTTATACTCATGAAATGTAAATAGTGAAAAAGTGGAAAAAATCATTGGCATTAAAATGTGCAACTAAAATATAAGAACTATCACCTGTAGTATGACCATTTAAGCAAAAATTGATCAGCAGATGATGAAAAATCAGAACTGTTGAGAGTTGCAGTGGAGCCGAGGAAGCGATCGACAACATCCTTCAACCAGGAAGCCCAATCTTCGAGTGCTGCCTGCTGCTGAAGGACGAGTTTAAAGTCAGCCAGCAGATCTGTGATCGTTGTGTCTTCACAATGGCACACCACTGATGCTTGGTCCTGCACGTTGTGCCATGTGTACAATGCAATTAATTGCTATTTGTAAGCCTTAATGTTAACGTCAACAGCTCTCATGATGTTGAATGTGATGGTGAATAGGTGACAAAAATATCGTTAGAAGAGGCAATGATAATGAGTGAAGATTATAAACAATTTGAAACCTGCACATTGTCAAAGTCAATTCTGTTTATGTCAGCCAGCATCTGGTTGATCTGCACTTGATTGAGCAGGACAGCACGAGCTGCCTGGGCCAAGTGATTCAGTGATGTGTACCTACGAAGTATCTGAGCCAGTGCACAGGCGGCTTGCATCTGGAGGTGTTAACATGTTGAATTGTCAAAAACAAACGACGCCACTGAAAATAACATTTGAAACTAAGCCTAGGTAATAATGCAATACACAAACAAACAAGCAAACAGCAAAGCAAACTACAGTGATATGATCTCACCTTAATATTTAATATCTCTTGTGGAACACCTGATAGTGCATTCTTCATCCATCCTTCCATGTGTTTTGCGAAGTTTCTAATGCTCTGTGTCAGAGAACCTGTCAGTCGTGTTGGAATGAGGAATGGAAGTGACTATTCATTTGAAAAAAAAACAACGAAATAATTTTATAAAATAAAAAATACTAATGTGAAATTATGAATAGAAATCTGCCTGACATGGTATAGGCTTGAGGACATCAGGAAGAAGGACGTGGACCACTGCTTGATAGAGAATGTGTTCAGCGTGCCTGATGAACTGCTGAATTCGCCTGTGTTGGCAGATGCTGTAGAACATCTCTTTTGACAGCTGACATTTTGATTTATCACCGGTTGGCCTATAATAAGAATGAACATGTCAACATTGTAAACGAATATTTATGAGTAGGATTTTAATAAATTAATTTAATTATTTTATAAAATAAATTAATAAATTAATTTAATAAATAATAATTTAATAAATTTTCTTGAATTTAATTTGAAGGTTTCGAATGTATTGTATGCTTTGCTGATTTTAAAGGTGTGGCTAGAAACCTAATCAAATCTTTGCATCTCATAGTCATTTAATTGTTGGACAGAAAAGAGACATCCATCCATCCATCCATCCATCCATCCATCCATCCATCCATCCATCCATCCATCCATCCATCCATCCATCCATCAATCAATCAATCAATCAATCAATCAATCAATCAATCAATCAATCAATCAATCAATCAATCAATCAATCAATCAACTAACATATCACCATCATTTTCATTCTCATCTTGCTTCAGATTTTTCCAAAAACTGATCCACAGGGCCTCTATCTTTGAGAACTGAAGTTTTGATACCAACTTCATGAAGTACTGCAATGAATTAATTATTTAATTAATTCATTCATTCATTAAGAATTAATAATTGGCAAATTATTTTGTAACATTTATAAATATTATATAATAGACGAGCATTATATGTTTATAAACTATAAAAAAAAACACGTCTATCTTAAAAAAAATAATAAAAGAACACACACACACACACACACACACATATATATATATATATATACATATATATATATATATATATATATATGTATATATATATATATATATATATATACATACATTTGCACACAAGTACACAGCATAAATGTACAATGATTTTTATAAGCCAACCTTGCAATGATTTTTGAAGAGTGAGACAAAGGTTGAAATATTATCCAGTGTGCAACCGTCAGGCAAATCCTCAAGTTGAATATCTAAAGGTTCGAAGTGGGTGGCCCTGTCAGGAACTGCTCCTAAAAAGTCCTGATTATTCTGAGTTAAATTAGTGGCACTGTTGTTGCAGCTGCTGTTGTTGTTGCCCTCAGCCATACTGTCGTTTGTGCTATCCATCTCATCACTAATGTTCTGATGGTGAGGAGGCATGCTTGGATGGTGTTGGCGACGATGGCGAAGGTGCTCCATTTTTAAACCTCTGTAAAAGCCAAACGCGATTTGTCAATCATTGTACTACGCTTACATTTCTAACGTGAATATTAACGAATACAACTGCAATTAACAATACATTAATACTCTTCATTGTAGTGAAACCTGCAGAATCAACGACAGTACAAACATGTTGAATTTAATTTACCCTATAACAGCTTCCTTAGAAATACAGCCATGCAAAAAAAATAATTTATAAATAAATAATGGCAAAAGCAACATAATCATTAAAAAAAAACAAATAGAAATCAGGCAAACACCTTCGTAATAAGAAACGCTGATGATGACTGCCCAATGAAAATGTTGATGCTGGAGATGGGTGAGTCCGCATGGAAACATACCTATCATCAAAGTCCCTCAACGATGAGGTCGGCTTTATCCTAATTCCATAGTAATGGTACTGGGAATGCCCTCTGCAATAAAAAACATTGCTAGTTCATCTTTTCAATGAGTTATTTGCCTAAAAGCATGTGCAAGGATTAAATAAGTGTGAATGCACATAAGCTGTAGTAGCTAAAAACTTTGATGATGACATTCTTACAACAATAAATTCAAAATGATTGTACGTATGTATGTTTAAAAACCCCACAAATATTTGAAAAAAATGTAAATTATTCAAGGCAGAAGCATTGTTATTAAACAATCCCAGAGCTAAAATTTAAAAAATGGGGAGGATATAAGCAACTGGCATGCTCAAAACCAACCTAGTTCCTAGTCGACGAGTCCTCAGACCTGGAAAAATGGATCTGATCAACTTTCCAAATGATGCAGGATTCATGGGGTCCAAATTGCATTGTTCGCAGTGAGCTTGGTAGTTTATGTAGAGGGAGCTGCGTGGCAGGCTGACACCTTCTGTCTGTTCGTAGTTATCTCGTAACCATTGTACCTTCATAGATACATATTAAAAATGTATTTGTGTTCATAGTAGTTGTGTTCATAGTATTTTGTGGTGTGTTGGGTTTTGTGAAATCTACTAGAGGATATAAGTTATTCCACAAAAAAGAAATAAATGTCAGATAATAATGAAAAAATAATACAGAAAAACAGAAACCGATGCAGGAGCAGCTCTGATAGTGGAAGGTAGTGAACTGGGGGAGAGGTCATCAACTAATGCTTTCTCTTCGACTATGAACATCTCACCTCCATTGCTTATTACCTGAAAATGTTGTTTACAAATAATTTTTTGATTACTTCTGAAAGAAAAACTGTTATTTCCAGAAAGTAGTTAGAACTAGTAGAAATAGAAAAAACAAAGGAAAGAATAAATTGAAATTAAAAAAATACCTTAGTACTTTCTATAAAATTGGAAAAACATTTATTTGAAAATAACACATTAATTGACTAACATGAGAATTAGATGGTGATTCGTAGTACATCTCATTAGAGACTGTAGCATACATTCCTGGCTGTACCACCTCATAATCTGGGTAAGCCTGCAAACTGGAGATTTGATTGAGAAATTCAATTTTGGTAAAAATGCATAATGCTTAGCACTGGCTAGGATAATACAGTACAAACTTTAAACATTGTTTTTAAATCATTAAGTTTAATAAAACAAAATTAAAAAAACAAAATAATCTAACAGATGTGGCTGCTGTTGGTACATCACATGATTCTGCTGCTGTTGTTGCTGCAAAGGTAGCAAGACATCACGATTGCTACTGCCATCTGAAAATCGCAAGTTTATAACATAAAAGAAATCAGTGCATTGTATTTACTAATAACTTGTATAAGAATGTGATCTGAACTGGCTTACCATTAACAACATATTGCCGTTCTTCATAATCTTCATGCGAGGTATAAACGCTGTGAGTCAACTTTTAATGAAAAGTTAAATCACTAGAACAATTTATACAACAATATTTAATATCATGCTTTAATTTTATCAAAAAAATGTAGTTGAGCCAAAATAAGCAAATAAAATTTCAAAATATAAGATTATGACGAACCTGATTGTGACTTGGCATTGCATTTACCACTGAAAGGCTTTCTCTTGTGCTCATACTGATTTGAGAATTTGATCATTAAATGCCAGAAAATCAGGTAAAATATCTTCCTAGATAAACACTTGCTTCTGTTTTGAAAACAATTTTATTATGAATGAACTAACTTTAACCATGAGATGCATGAAATGAATTCAAACAAAACAAAATCTAAAAATTTTCTATTTCAAGTGTTTTAATAATCTTGTTACTCAGCTTATTTATCATTATTGTTGTTGTGTTTAAAAAAAAATGATGATCACTAAAAAACCTAAAATGCGTGATCATCATCCCAATACAAAATCAAAACAATCCTTAATTAATAATTCCTTATCAATTTTGAATTTGAAGATAAATTTAATTTAATTAAACGCTATTAGGCGAATAACTCATGGAAATCAAAAATAAACAAACGAGCAATAAAAAGTTTATAAAGAAATTCGGTTGACTGGCAACGCAACCTCTCGAACAGCTCATCGCCATGGTTTTTTAGTAGTAGATGCAATTAGGTGCTAGGTTAGCGTTAGGCAAAACTTCATCGAGAACGTTGAAAATTTCAAAAACAAAAATTTTGAGTTTTAAAAATTAAAAAATTAAAATTTTTGTAAAAAATAAATTTGAAAAATAATATAATTACTTGTTGAAAAAAAGAGAAATTGATCACCAACGAAACCGTGGCTATGGCTGCCCTCTCTACGGCAACAGTTGCCAGACGGTAATGAGGTTTCACGTGACCTTTGGCTAAATGTTATTACGCTTTGTTAACAAAAAATAATTCTTTTAACAATACGTTTTTAACTTTTACCGATGACTTACAAATGAAAAAAATTGTATAATTAGTAATAAAATAATATTTTAATGTAAAAATTTTAAATTTATATTTAAAATAGACATTTCGGCAGCCTTTGAACTATAAAGCATTATTTAGCCTAGCACGACAAAGGTTAAAATGTGATATCTTTGTAGATATGAACATTCTTCGATCTAGTTTTACATTTTAATTAAACTTTTAATTATATTTTTGACATTAAATCACTAAAATATCGAGACATGAGATATTTATGGTCCTAAACTTTATTTTAGAGAATCTCAACACTTTAAGCAATACAGATTCCATGCAGAGGAACAAAAAAACTTCATATTCATCGATTGTGCAAGGTGTCTGTTTGATGTATGAGAACATGATTTGATCTCTGGATGTGGAATGATTTAGAAACTTCAAAAAATTTTTATCAAACATTTTTCAGTTGTAAGATGGAGATGTTTCTCGTCATTGACACGTGCTGCAAATGAATCTGAAATGAGATGGCTTGTAAATCATTCATTCCATGGCCACATCATTTTAGTCAGCTGCAGCTTCGGTAACAATTATAAACATGAATTTACATGCTGTTTTAACATGTGCATTGTGCAATCCTTTGGGCATATCCGTCGATTTCGGTCAACAATAATTTTTGCATATTTCATTTTCAGAAATGTCATTTAAACGACATTCGAAATTATTACAACTAGAAAGGTTACATAAATCTAATGAAAAAAAACTACCAGCTTGATTCACTCTATCAGCCACAAATTCAAAAAAATCGAACTATAGTGTGAGTTCAGTAATACATAATAACTATTCGATAGATTCAAGATACTATATATCAAAAAGGTTGTTTTAGATTTATAGTATCTCGATTCAAGATACTATTCATCAAAACGTAGTTTTTGATATAATATAGTACTATATACTTATCTTGATTCAAGTCGATTCAAGATTGATTGGTTTGTTTGATATGTTTTTGATTTGTTTGGGTTGAATGGTTTGATTTGTTAGGATCGGTTCGGATAGTTGATTGGTTTGTTTGTTTGTTTGTTGATTGGTATCTTGAAACATGATAATTATATCACAACGGTCATTAATTTTTCCCTCACACCATGACTACTACATATTTTATTAGTTGATACTGTAGTGAAATGTACTTTTTCGATGAAATGTACTTAGGGTGAAATAAAACTGTGGTGGAAGTTAGGTAAAAAGTAACATAAAAAAATCTGCTTGAGAACAATGAACAATCAAGTCATTGTAAGAAACTGAAAAATATGAAGAAAAAAATTAATAAGTTTTTTTTCCAAGAATCCTATGCCTATCGTTTCATGAATCATTAATTTATCTCTGGGATAATATATAAGGCACGTGATTTGAATTGTACGTGAATTTTTGCACGTGTGTATGTGTGTGTGTGTGTGTGTGTAGAGTGTTTGTGTGTGTATGTGCGGTGTGTTTCTGTGTGTTTATGTGCTGTGTGTGTTTATGTGTTTGTGTGTGAAATCGAGATGATATTATTGTGTATGTATAATTGTATATATATATAATACAAAAAATACACGAACATAGAAATAATACAGATACACAAACTCAAATAAAAAAAAGATTACACACAGTCAGATAGAAACAAACAGACTAAAACAAAGAGACATTCATAATAATTTACAAAAGATAGGGACAGAGATGACAAATTTCACTCAACGAAGCTGATCGTACTGTACATTTGTGTGAATAAATGTTCACACATCACCAACATGTGCATTTACTTGCATGTATCTCAAAATTGATATATATCATATCAATGGCAGCATATTAGATACACCGTAAGTACTGAGATATTAGATATAATATATTTAAGAACTAACACAGTGGCTGTGGTACTGATACTATCTGTGAAATGAAGTTGTACATTCGCAAAGAAAATAGTCCAACCAACCCACCAACCGTTTAATCTACCACTAACCAATCAGCCAACCAACCAATCAACCAGCCATCCAGCCAGTCAGTCAGCAGTTCTTATTCAACCATATAATAAAATATTTCGTACGAACGAATGATCCGAAAATAAAACCAAATATTATACAAATTTAATGCTTTCCAGTCAAACTTGTTTGCCTTACACACATTTATTTTTTCATACAAATAACTTTTAACACACATATAATTTCATAAAACACGCGCAAACACATAATTAATACTTGCACATTTCAGAAAATTTAATTAATTAGCACTTTCATACATGCATGTATATATTATATTTATTTCTTTATTTATACATTTAAATCATTTATTTATGTTTTTATAAAGTTTCAACACTTTGTCGGGAGAACTTATGAAAACAAACAAATACATATAGGCCTGCAATGCATGCAACGTGCAAACAATCACTTGATATGTATGGATATTAGGCACTCAGTGCCTTCCTAAATAAGGGATATCATTTACGGTTGTCATTAAAGTTGGTTGGTTGGATGGTTAACTGGCTGGTTGGTTGGTTGGATGGTTAATTGGTTGGTTGGTTGGTTTGTTTGTTTGTTGGTTGGATGGTTTGTTGGTTGGTTTGTTGGTTGGTTAGTTGGTTGTTGAGCTCCAAACAGAAAAGATTTTTCTAAACCACAATCGCCCACATGCACGCTGCTCATCATCCGCATCTGCCCCGCACCCGCGAAAAGACAACCTAAATCGGCCATGTTTAAAATTAGAAGTTAGCAACACCGGAAGGCAATCTATTTACAATTTAATTATAATCAGATAGCAGGTAATCTGCTGAGAAGACATCTCTCAATTTAAAAAATATGTGTATATATATGTATGTGGTACCAAAATATATATATATATATGTATGCACAGTACTTATATATTTGTTTGTATGTTAATTTGTATATACGTACGAGTGTATCGTATATGTGTATGTGTATATATTGTTATAATAACACTTGTGTTAAGTATCAAAGATAGATAGAGGTTACACATACATTATGCATAACAATTTTATTGAAACAATTTAAAATTTTAAATGTTAAGAACAAATTATTATAAGTTTTAAAACATGTCAGAAACCATTATAAGTCTAAAAACATATGTAAAAACAGAGTTAAC